ACAGAGAGAGAGAGAGAGAGAGAGAGAGAGAGAGAATGTTTTTCCAAACAACTTGGTTGGTTTTGCAAAAGTTGCATTTGGAAGCCCAATTGCTGTTGGGAATCAATTCATATTTGCAAATCAAACCTCTTGTTTAGTTAAAATTGTTCAGGAGAAATTTTCAAATGGGCCCAAATTGCAACTTGTTCAGAACTCAATAATGGTCAAATTTGGTTCACAAAAACATTTTCACATGAAAAAATTCTCTCATGTGGTCAAGTGTGGGAATATTTTCATATCAATTGTTCTTAGTTCATCTTTTCACACCAATTGGCAACTAATTGATGTAAAAATATCCCACACTTGACCACATGAGAGATTTTTTCCATGTGAAAATGTGTGAACCAAACATGTAAGTGAACTTGATTCTGTGCTGACTGTTTTGAATTGTATAAATTCTTGTAATATTTTAAGAATTATTGAGTTTATTTTCCCACTATGATCTCATAATTGACATTTCCATTTTCATACAGGTTAGTGAGCTTAGTACCCAGTTCGATAAGTGCCAGCAACTTCTAAACTCCATAGCAGCATCTGTAAATGCTAAAGCCATGGTATGAACTGTTCATTTAGTGTTGTATATGGAGAGCACATTTCAAAGAATCACAAATATCTTTTGTTTAGAAGCATATTGCTAAACTTACTTTGTCCTTGTAAGTTGTTAAGCTGACAATAAATGTTTAGCTTTGAAACATGTCAAATTCTATGTATTAACATTATATGTGTATGCGTATGTGCATTACTTGTGGAGATGTTGTGAACTCATCTTGCCTTTTTTGGCCTACCACATGAAATGCGGGTATATTGCATGAATTAGAGTTTATGAGGTTAAAAATGGCTACTTGGCAGCTATCTAAACTTCTACTTGGGCATGTGTTACCAACCAGCTATTATTGCCCTATCTGCTGGAGCCTCTAGGTGACCTGTAATGTTTGGAAATAAGAGGAATGTGAAAGGGTTAATATATGGTGATAATGGGATATGTCGAAACTCTCGACTTTATTGCTCTCTTGGATGTGAAATTTGCAATGCCAGTAAATTGTTGACTGATCCTGTAGCGCAGTGTCTTAATATATGGTGATAATGGGATATGTTGAAACTCTTGATTTTATTGCTCTCTTGGATGTGAAATTTGCAATGCCAGAAAATTGTTGACTGATCCTGTAGTGCAGTTTCTTAAGCGTTTTTCCTACTGCATCACATATTATACTTCAAGATCATACACATAGGTTAGCTCTTTAAATCTTTTATCAGCACGTATTACTATATCTATGAAATTGTGTTTGTATCTTAAGTACACTCGCTTCTTTGAAATTCCTCCCATTCTTTTAATTAACAAAAAGACAATAAACCACTGAAACTTTTAAAATCCCATGCCATTGGCAATAAATGTATTGGGGTTACAATTTAGACTAGTATACTCCATAAGTTTGGAGGCAAAAAGAACACTTGTCACTCTTTTGTGATCTGTATTGGTATGCCCACGTAAACTGCTGATGCACCTGCTGCTTCTTTCAGACAGTAGAAGGCCAAAAGTGTAAACTAGAGGAGTATGAGAGGATGCTAAACCAGCGAAGGTTTGTATAGTTGTGCTGTGGTTCTCTAGGGCTTATTGATTTTGCGATAAATAATAACTTGTTCATTTTTTTATATCTTTTGGTCAGAGATCTTATTGCTGAGTATAGATGCTCTGTTGAAGAGTTCACCAAGTCAGGTTGCAACAGATAGTATATGTAACTCATATGAATATTTTATCTTTTCCTTTACTCACACTGAGAGACACGGTTGTTTCCCTTCTGAGTGATCTCGGGAGTTTATTTTGTACTCTATTGGGGAAAAAAGTTGGGCCTTTTATTATTCATTCACTCATACTGCTCGGTATAGAAGGAGTAGGATATCCTTATAGGAGTTTCTTAAACTTTTTTATGTTGTGTGAGCTTTGTTAGTAGAATTGGGAATGTTGTAAAAATTTTTTGGGAAAGGTTAATTGCAATTACTCTCCTACAGTGTGTTATTTATTGGGTTTGAGTAAATCACTTCCCTCATAGTAGTATTTCATATCTTCGATATGTCATAGCTCCATGTCCCTAGGAACAGAAGATGCATCGCTTTAATGCGGAGCTACACCCCCCTTCTTTTGTGGGATTTTCATTATGGTTCTGTGTTTCAGATGGTCTAAAAAGGACCATTAATCAATGCAAGGGAATTTTTTTTGATGCTGTTAAACGGTTGTATTAAAGAGAGTATAGTAAGTGGAAGAGTGTTGCAGAGGAGACCCACAGCCCGGGTTTCATGCCATAAAGAAAAGACTACCCCGGAAGAGCAGTCCTATACAAACAAATGTTCGGGCATAGTACCAAAACCCGACGGAAATGGGCAACTGAAAACCAAAAGTGGGCCATAACACCTACCCCTTACAATGAAGAAAAGTAAAATAAAAAAAGGAAAACCAAAAAAGCAGACAATCACGGTCCCGAGCTATTGGTTGGCTCTCCATCTTTAGCCAGTTGGTCTGCCAGCGCTTTGGATTCCTGCATTCCCGCCAAATATGCCTCCATGAGACATCCATATCCCTGCAAATGTGAGTAATTTCATCAAAAATCAAAGCCAGATACCACGGGAGCGGCCCAGAGCCAGCAGCCCAGGTGATAATGTTTTCCACTATAAGTGGTTGAGGCCAAGATGGGTTAAGGATCTTAAGGCCGGTGAGCAATGCCAAAGACTCAGCTAATTGGGAGCCAGTGTGGCCAATGTTTTTGGAGAACTAATCAATGCAAGGGAATTATAGTGGTAGATTGAGCATGTTAAGGTAGATTGAGCATGTTAAGGGGCAGATACAATTGGGGATCACCTTGGAATCGCCACGGGAGTAATTAATACCGAGTGCGGACATGCTGTTCAAGTGTATTTAAGCATATTTTTTATGATTCATGTATGCACTTTAATGATTGGATTGTTCACTTTCAATTCTCTAATTGTGAACAGTCAAAATAAAAGTGGCAGCATATTCTATCCCAAGAAAATGTCAGTTATACAAGAAATCGTGAGTACATATGTTTTCCCAAACCTACTGCTGAAAATGCAGCATTGGGTCTATGCTTGATGCGATCTGGGAGGTTCTAATCTCTGGTTAACAAGCATATGTATGATATGGCAAGTTTGAGGGGAGAGGAGGAAAAAAAAAAAACCCACTCTTCCAAGGGATTCTGAAAGGATTTGGTTGATTTTAGTCCTATTGAGGAAACTTTACATTGCATTCTTTAAATGCCATTGTCTTAAGTGATGCATGGCTGCATCGTGAGATCGACAGCAAAACTTGTGTTATTGGTCTGATGTCACCTTTAAACTTATCTTTGGTGGTAACTCTAGAAGCCAATCTGGTCCATTGTGCTTGGGGGTTGATCTGGATGTGATCAAATACTGAACAGCTCATACAGGTTTGATAGATTTAGCTTTCGACAGTGACCATAATCCTACCTGTGGGACCCTTCTCTCCATCAGATTGCTTCACATTGCAATTCTTGGGCAAGACTGATTGCCTCAATTTTATTTTTAGCTTAAGACTGCCCTGAGATTCGGGAATTCTCATTTAGATAAAGGTTGTATGGAATATTGTAATGTAAATATGATGGTCCGAAAATGGACAATAGGGAATTGATCAGCTGGTGTCATAATGTTGGTGAAGGATCAGGTTTCTGGAATGTAAAGATGAGTCCAAGGCTTCCCAGTTTTGGTGACTTCGGGTGCTGTAATGAATTTAGATCCAAGGGAAAAACAAGTCAACCACATCCTTGAGTTATAAGTTAAGCATGACTGGAAACTAAAAACCTAAAATGAAGCAACACTGATGAGACACATTTAGATTCAAAGTGCCCAAGATCGGCGCTTGTTCGATTAGTCAAATGTGGCAATACTGTACAGCACCAATAAAATTTTATTTCTAAAATTTAAGGATACATCCAACTTTAGAATATGGACACATTTATGAACATGTGCCTCACATGCCATTTTTTTAAATTATGCTAATTTGTACGGCAAGTGGTTGGTTCAATGGCCTGTACAGTGAATGGTTGTGGGTTAGATGTGGTCTGCATCACAGAATAATTGGTACAGGGGAATACTTTTAGATACTTTTCTGTGCGTAAAAATATCAGAGTGGAGTGTTGCATGGGAGAGGGGATGTGTTCATCACCTGGTTTGCAGGTTTCTTGTGTGTTTGACCAACATATGCTGGTGGCAGATGATTCTTATTCTTTGGTATCTAATATGCAGCATGGAGTTGTCGAATGGTTCGTCACATTATTCCTTTGGGAGGCTGTCCTTTTGCGTTGAGTGTGCCTTGAAGGATTTGGTGGAATTCAAGAAGCACCTTCATTCATTAAAGCTTCTCCATTTACATATAAGTGATGATGCTTAGTATGACTACATAAAGTTGTGGGTTGCAGGTTCATTATTGAAGATGGCGCAGTTCATGGTTGTTTTCTTGGTCTGGTGATTCAAAGACATGATTAAGTCGGAAGTGATGTTGGGCCAAGCTAGTAATAAATCAATATTAAAATACACATTTTCAACTTGGAAAAACACTTTTGTCTCACGTCCACTACCAAAGGCACGGTAATACTTTGGAGGGCATCAATTTTACTTTGTTATGGAATGTTTGGCTGGAATGTAACTAAGGATCTTTCAAGGTAAGGAGAGATCCATCCTAAAGTTATGGAGAACATCGAAACAGTGGTAGTTGAATGGGTGAGACAGCGTTTAGGGTTCAAGACTTAACACAACCTCGGACTTCATATGGAACTGGGAGAGCACTATAGCCAGATCTGATAGAACATTCAACTAGGTCCTCTTGCAGGTAACCACTAGAAAAAGGCACCATCAAAATTCAACTTTGTAGGGCAGTTGTGAGAGGAATACTTTGGGACATGGAGGGACCTCAATCTTAATCTTCTCAAGGCCCATAGACATTGCCAACTTGAGGCTTGTGCCCTCTTACAAGGTTTCAAGAGAGAGTGCAGTTGAGGCAAATGTTTATCTCAGATGAGTGGAGAGCATGCAAGTGGTCTAATGATCAGGTTGGGAAGAAGGTGAGAGATATTATACTTTCTAAGGCTTTTAGAGAGGGAAAGGGTGCTCTTAAGATATTTTTTCTTTTTGTCAAAGTCCTTCGCATGGTTGATAGTGACAAGCTTTCTATGGGTTACATATATGATGCTATGAAGAAATGCAAAAGAGAGATAGCCCAAAATTTCAATGATGAAGAAACCTGCTACAAACATGTTTGGGAGATTATTGATGAGAAGTGGGATAGACAGCTACATCGGCCATTGCATGCAGTTGGTTTTTATTTGAACCTAGCTTTTTTTTTATATTGACAAGGATATGCAAACAAATGACGCAATTATGAATGGATTTAATAAGTGTGTAGGGAGTTAGTCCCTGATCCTGATATGCAAGATATTATATGTGTTGATGAGCTGATAAATTATCAATAGAAACTAGGGCCCCCTTTTAATTGTCGAGCAGATTTTGGGAGCACCACTGACCGTCAGGATAAGATTTTTGAAGAGATAGCTCTTTTATCAGTGCCACACAAAATATCTCTTTTTATCATACTTGGTGCGGGGCTAATGTCATTGCAAATGGCTTGGCTATAACAAGGGGCTCTCAACAGATCTCTAATGCTCAATCCAATTTGGAATACAAAACCATATGTTACTTTTGAATTCTAGTAGCTTGCTTAACCATTTTGCAAGACTGTATTTTTTTTTTTTGGTAATATCTCCATACCCTATTTTTACCACCTATTTCTTAAGAGACCCAAGGATTTATATTATTTATTGCTGCATAAAGTCTCAATATTTTTTATCTTTCAACCCCTTGGATCCCTTTGACTATATATTTTTGTTCTAAATAATTTAAAGAATGACTCATTTTCATTTGAAAACTAATACCTCCTTAACCCCTTAACGTATCCCGTTTCTTTCTCAAAACTCTCTCTCTTGTACATTCCACGCTTCCCATCGTCTTTCTTTAATACCCCAATCGTAGAGCCTACATTTACCATCATCTCTCTCTATCTGAATTTTATCTCTCTCACATACAAATACCTTAATTGTAGAGCCTACCATCCTCTCTCTCTTCTCTCGTTAGAACTCCGTCCTTTGGCGCTCCCTTTTATTGCTAAAAATACCATTACAAAAAAGTTGCAGATTCCAAGGGGAACAAGCAATTCGTGGCATCACATAATCACAAAAGCCATTCAACTTGAAGATTGAAACACATTTAAGCATAAAAACCATTCTCTTAGTTTTTTTTTAAAAAATTTTATTGTATCAAAAACATTCTCTTGTCTTACAAATCAAAATGCAGTTACAGTTCATTACAACATGTAAACAGATGAAGTCTACAAGAACTTTTTTATACGAGATTGATAATAAAAGGAATACACAAATCTAAAAACACCACAATAGGAATAGAATTACTTACAAACCCATTCCAGCAACTAGCGTATTGTCTACCAACATCAACACTAGGAATATAAAAACCATTGTGTGGTCAACCACAATCCATATGTGGCTGTGGTTCAACAAAATGGAACCCATGAATATTATTAATAGAAAATTAACAAACTAAACAAAATAAATACCAATTCCGCCAACAACAGCTTAAATACAAAAGGAAAAAGATAGAAATTAGCAATAATGCATATACGTTGGTAAACTTTCTCCCTGATTATGCGATTTGGGTATTTGAGATTTTGAAATCAAATGTACCTTGCAATTTGGTTATTTGAGATTTGAGAATCAAATGTGCTATGCGATTTGCGTATTTGAGATTTGGGAATCAAATGTGCTATGCAATTTAGGTATTGGAGAGAGAAAGAAAGATAAAGTTTTGATAGACAAAGAGGAGAGAGAGAGAGGATGGGGATGGTGGCCTCTACGTTTTTTATATTTGAGAGATAGAGAGAAAGAGGCAAAAGAGAGAGATGGAGTTTTGATAG